GTGATTTTATTAACGACGCAAAATGAAAACAGAATCCTTTTGTTTTCTCCGAAAGTTAAATAAGGATATATATATATAATTTTATTTTTATACCTACATTTTTGTAGTTCAAAAACATCGTATGTAAAAAACTTAAACAATATAATATCAAATTATTTAAGTATAATACGTCGAGGCTACTATTGAAGTTAATTAAGAAAGGAATTGTAAATTATTTTGATTAATAAATAATATGCTGCTAACAATGGAATCCGAAAAGTGAGATAATTACCATAAAATTACTTGGAAATTTTAATTAAACAGAGACGCACTTGATACGTTGGAGAAATTAAATCACGTGTAGTCGAATGTTGATTCGTTTCTGTTGATACTACACGTTATATGCCAACTTCTGTGGAATAAACTATTGTCTTTCATCTATATTATATATTATTATGCATATATATATATATATATATATATATATATATATATATATATATATATATATATATTTGCAGTATTTTTCGCCCGTCGATTGTTTTGCAATGTTTCACAAGACATAGTTTGTACTAAGATCAGAAGTTATCTATGTTATTCTTCAGCTCAAACGAACCCTAAGCCCAACTATCTCCATACCAAAATAGTCAAATTGCCAAAAACTGTCAGTCCTTTGCCCTATACTACGTAACAGGAGGATATACCAACAGAGACACTTTGAAATTTTCCTGTATTAATTGAAAAAAGGTTCAATTCAACTCCTTGTATGGCTTTTATTTGTGCCACTTGAACTCAGATTATATGGCCAATTTCACGTGAAATGGAAAACATACGAATGCGATTCGTCGGTAAAATGAGACTAACTATGTAAGTAATTTATTTTATAATAACAAAAGCAAACCTATCCCCCGGGACCGTACATTTTTCAGGGATAAGAAAAGTAGCCTATGCGTTATTCCAGGCTATAATCTATCTCTACGCCAAATTTCATCCAGATCCGTTCAGCCGTTCTAGCGTGAAAGAGTAACAAACATCCATACTCACAAACTTTCACATTTATAATATTTATATACAGATTATTTGATTGCAATTAATTAAGGTATGTAAAAAATTGTCAAACTAAAGCATTAAGTGACTATTTAATAATTTAATGTTCATAAATAAATGTGCGATGCAAATGTAGTGCCGTAAGTACTTTGTGAGATTATAAGGTTGTTTAAAACTCTCAATGAGAACGGACGTCCAATTTAACGTTATCTGTTAAGTGAAGTTTAATTCGAGGATAATTAATTTAATTACAGCTAGCCTAATGAGGTGTTATAGCTTCACGATGTAACATCTTATTGAACGGAAAAAAAAATCAGCGAGTATTTTTGATAAATTTTAATTGGACTTATTACGATCGTGACACCTTTTCGATTTAAAATGTTAATTTCTTAGAGTAAACGTGGCATACGCATATATGTATGTATGTACTCGTAGATTTTTTACCATACAATATGGCGTCATTTAGGTGAAGTCGTAAAGTGAAAATAAAGGCTTCACAGCTATGTTTTTACACGTACTATCTTTATTAAAGATCATATTTTTAAACAAATTTTAATATTTTCCAAAAGAAAATACATAGCTGGTTAAAAGTTAATACATATCCCATATATTTAAATCCTAAATTTAAAACCACATGAGTAAATGTCTTACATTTACTCTCTAAATGAAACTTTAGAGCACCACAAAGATGTTGCCATTTTCTGTTCTCGTACTATCTACAGCCTGCCAGTTCATCGTTTTGTTCTATTCCGTACTTAAACATTTAATTACGATAGTAGCAGAACTACAATTTATTTGTTTCATTTCTATATGGCAAATATTTCATTTTTAATTATCTGTGCTCATAAATATCAATAGTTGGGAAGGTAAGCAGTTAAGTGGAATATTTATTCATAAATATCAACCATCCCTGTTAAAATTTGTATCTCATCCGCACACTAACCGCGATGACGATGGCATATAAACTTTTTATCTATACAGATAAAAAAAATTGAACTGTTTGTAAAGTCAAAATAACAAGTTTTTACCTAATGAATATAAAATTATATACGGTATTTATAAGAAAAACACAATTTTTTAATATTTTGTATGTCTGTTTGGTCCGGCTAATCTCCGAAACGGCTGGGCCGATTTTGACGGGACTTTCACTATCAGGTAGTTCATGTTATAAGGAGTAACTTACGCTACTTTTATTTCATAAATAAAAAATTAAAATGCACCTAGGGACGAACCCGAGTAATATATTTTTATGTATTTATTTATTACTAACACCAACAAGATATATCTTAACAAAAACACAGAATTATAGCATGCCCACAAGTTAGGAGTCTAAATGTTATCTTAATTATTATAGGTGTTACACGCATTGCAATGAAACACGTATACAAATAATGGAGAACAATAGGTACATGCAATAAAAAAATACACCAGACAATATAATCAAAAATAAATAGAATTCAGTTAAAACATAATTCATTCAAATATTAAAAGTACAATTAAAATCAAATCAAAATTTGTTACAACATCAGAAGATAATAGAGATTTTTTACAAAAAAATTAATATCTTTTAATTATACACAATTACTGGCAATATTATGATTTTATTAATGCTGCTATGAGGATAATCTACTACTGATTACCCAATTTTTTTCATCTAATCGGCCTTCAGTTAGATATTAATGAAGTTCTCGTATGTTAATTATTATTCATTATATAGCAACTTACCTTCGCTTTAATCGGCTGTATCTAGTTTATCTTTTGTCGTGATGTGGGGGCTCAGTAGCGTCTGGCTATCTATAATCAAGCCAGGCGCGAAACCAAGAAACGCACTGGGTGGTGGCCCACCTCCGACCACCACCCGTCCACCGGTGGGCGGTGTGCGTGGGTGTGTGGTGGCACACATGGAGGCGAGTTGCTCCTGGTACTTCTCTGATAACAGAGTGGACTGTGGAGCAACCCCATGACTCTTGTGGTCTGCTTCGCAGACCTACCGTCGGGGCGTCGTGGTTGAGTGCGTAAGCGTACGTGCGTAGCTCACTAAATTTCGTCCAAATCCGTCCAGCCGTTTTAGCTTCAAGAAGTAACAAACACATTGACACACATAATCTTTCGAATATACATTAAATTACAGTATCTTATATACCTACATGTAGTAAAATATATAAAAAAATAAGAAGTTTTAAATAAAATTAAAATAATTAATTTCGTAAGATCCCTCATGAACACGCGATCTCTTACAAATTAAAAAATAATAGTTTTATGTTATTGTTGACCCTAATGTGTCGAGGGACCACTAAGTAACGAAATAGCCACTTTAGAATCAGGTCCCCCGATGCTATTAAGGATTATTCAAATCTATTTCTTTTTTAATTTGTACGAGTTCCTTTTTATATTTTGGGGGTTTTTGTAGTAAAAATATTTATGTGAATTTAATGTCATATTTTGTAAAAAAAAGTGTGTGTGTGTGTGTGTGTTCAAATTCAGACACGGTAGAAGTGAAACCTCAAAATAGTTACCTACGAGAGAATGAAATTAAATGTATAGAGTATTAGGAGTAGAAAAATTGTAAGGTTTAGTTTTTTTATCAAGTTTGAAAGTTACATAATATTGTTTGGTATTATTTTTATTCAAAATTCAAAAAAAAATTGAAAATTCAAAATAGTTTAATCAGCATTAAATTATTACAATTTTTTACTGAACGTCATTATTTTTCACTTCCTGTGTATTGTATTCTATCTCATTCTCTCGCCGGCTTAATCCTATATATTAGTGTGTTTGTCTTTATCTCGTGTCGATATTTTCGTTTTGTCGAGTTTCAAATCACAACGATTCTAAAGCAGTTTTGTTTAAAAGAAATGAAATAACTTTTTCAAGCTTTTACCGTTTAATACTTTCTTAATCTTTCTTAGATTTACGCGAATGTTTGACATTTTTAAATAAAACTATCTTTTCGGATTATTTCGCGGATTTATTTTGATTTTTGGTTCCCGACGTTTCGAATGCTTTACAGCATCCATGGTCACGGGAGAGACTGAGGTGTTACATGTCTTGAAGGTATAGTTGTTACAGACAGCCTGAAAATTGTACCAATTACATTACAATATTTTTTAACTTTAAACATTTTTTTTTTACCGTTTGTTAGATCTTTATGACAAATGGACAGATAGCAACGAAGGCAACGTAGATTCAATAATATCGTTCCTGTGTGGTGTGTACTGTGTAGATATAATATGTATGTAGGTATACATATATAGCTTTTCAATTTCTTTAATTTCTGGTAGCGTCAGATATCAAATGCCAAGCTATGTTTATATATAAATTTTATAATTATTTAAATTATTTTAATTGTACATTGTGTTTAAGTAATTAAAACATTATGGAAAACGTGTAATGGATGTAAATTGTCAAATTGGTTTAAACTAAAATATTTAAACATTTTTTTCCGTCCATGTGAAATAATTACTGGTGCGATTAAGCGAAAGTGACACATTTAGTCACGATACAGATTTATTAGTTATTTAAAAATAATTCAAATTGTAAATAATGAGGACAGTTCGTTACTGTAGCTTATCACGAACATTTAATAAACGTATTTTTTTTAATATTACATGGCCGTGGTGTATTATTTGCAGCCCAATAACAATTACTGGCATTATGGTAGATTTTAAATTGTAATTGTAAAAATGAATAAAAACGTACTTTAATAAATAAATATGTTGGGACATTAACACACAGCGCCATCTAGTTCCGTGGTAAGCTACGAGGCTTGTGTTATGGATACCAGATAGTTGATACACTACATATATATAACTTTAAATACATGCAAATTATAAACACCCATGACTGCAGGACAAACATTCGTCATCACACAAATGAATGCCCCCAGCGGGACTTGAACCCGCGACCGCTGGCACAGCAAGTACTGTGTGTGGTCACTACAAACCAAACGTGTTGTCAAACTTTACATTTTGGGTATGAGCACGTTTGGTTATGAAGAAACATTAACGATAAAGAGTCAAAAGGTTAGACCTACAATGGAATGGTGAGTGGTGAACTAGAGGAAGACCTCCCTTTGAGATCTATAAGATGGTCATATAAGAAGTTTGTTCCGAAGAGTGTGTACATATATCGAGAATGATTTCATTTAAAGAAGTGAATGGGATATGGATAGATCTTAGCGCTGGGTACTCTATTGTCACCGGCTTCCCTGGAACGGATATTGCATGAAGATATGTACATAATATGTATGTATGTATACTACGTATTGCTCCGAGAATTCGTAATGAGATAACCTTACGTATTTGTTTCTGAGTTGAAAGCTGATTCGGATGTGACTAAAACAAAGTAAAATTTTCGTGTGCCTTCGAAGATTATCACAGTTTTTTTTTTAAATAGGTCAGTCATATCTTTTATGTTAATGCTATCAGATTATGCAACCGAAATTATACATTACCTTTATCAAACCTCTTATAGGTCAATCAACCAACTTGAGATGTAAGATTAAATTATACCTACTATAATTATAAATACAATTGAAGTATTCGTCTATAATTATAAAATATCTTATATTAAACTTACACCTATACCAAAGCTAAAACAACTGTTAAAAAAGTCTGTCTGTCTGCTTATACCGCTTTAGTGCCGACTGTTGAATCGAATTAGATATTTTTAAATTTACCTTAAAATAGGCTACCTTTTATCCAAAGAAAAGTGAAAGGTTCTCACTTGATAGAAGTTTTATTAATCAGTAAATACATGTAAGTGTCGAAACAAAATAAGGTTGGTTTGCTCGTTATCAAATAATTTTGAACATAGCAAGCGGAAATTTGTTAGCTCTCTACTAAAAATTTTATTCGAACTCAATCTTTAACACAGTATTCGCGAATTGAATGGAAATTATTTGATGTCAAATGCAGTGTCTCGACTCGTTTTACATTTCACCGCCTGTGAACTTGATCTATATTCGATGTGCAGTGTTGGCATAAAATGTACCTTCGAGTATTTGTACGAGTACGTACGAGTAGTTTTACGCCAATACTGTACTGATTTTTATGATGGGTTAGTTTTTGCCTGCGGCTCCGTTCGTTTTATAAATACCATTAATGTGAAGTATTGTACTTCAGAAGATTCGATGTGTAAGTATGCAGGATATGGCGATAGTTATATATATTCTTATTCCGATATCGTCACAGCATAAAAAAGTCACAAACGCTCACTTTTACTTATGAATGCCATAAGTGATATATAGAAGAGGATCCATCCACTTAGTTGTTTTTAACTGAAAAATTTGGTACTCTCTTATTATAGTTTCCACAAAAATATTAATAGCATTAGTAATTTAATTACAATCGAATATACTTAAGGTTTTATATTTGTCAAATAAATATGTATACATGTGTCAGCAAAGATGGACTTAGATAGTATATAGTATGACATAAAGTTAATATAAATCTTCCCCAGTTAAAAACAAACGGTCGGCATACAAATACTCAATACTATGAACGTACATTTTTTTTAAACTTATCTTTATCGAACAGGCGCTCATAACAATACTTCAATATTTTTAAGTGCAAATAAGAATTATATGAAAGTTCATACTTACTCCATGAAATTTCGTTTCGCCTGCATTTTCAACACTTCAGCAATCTCATTGGAATGCTCATTGAAAATTAATCTCTCCCGATGTGGCAATAAGGGTGGAAAACGCATTTTTGATGGTAGATTTAGCCTAAAAGGTGTGAAAGTAACATCAGCTCTATCATTAGGAGATAAGGTGCATAATCATAAAATTTCGTATGAGTTATAAATTTTGCCGCTAACTTGATATTAATTACGCAGTCTGCGCCCAGACTGGCCGCAAATTGTAATATATTGTAACCGCTCGTTATATTAACTGCCCATATAAATTAATCTATGACTGTAACATTACGATGAATCGCTTAAGATTTTTATAGACGACTAATATAAACAATCACGAAATATAATTTTTTGTATGTAAGTCTATTTATTTTACTAGCATTGCCCGCGGCTCCGCCCGCTTTCATATTACCAAAAACCAAACTCTTAGGTTTTACATATTAGTATACTCTTACAATGCAGTTTTTGTATTTTTTCTCAGAAATGACATATTTTCCTGCGGTGATAAGTATCGTATATGTTGACCCGGATAACCAGCTATAATCATACCAAATTTCGGCTTTGTAATAAAAGATTCAATAGCAACCGTCGAAAACATATTAAACTATAAAAAGCTCTCGCTAACCTAGTAAAAGCCTATCCGACATCAAGAGGAATGAATTCAATAATCCTCTGCGGTGACCGTCGTTTTGTCGGATATACGGATAGAGCGATGGACGGGAGGGGTAATATCTGTAAAAATTATGTGAAGATCGGTAAAGCTTTTTTCCATGAACATTTTATTTGAACTCTTTACTTGCACACGAACACACGTACACACATACATAGAGAATTTCGCATATAGGCTAATATTGTAGAAGGCAGATACGTGCATTCAATTTTAAATAACTCTATTAACGTTCATATTTGTAGTAGATTCTCAAGATAGGGGTGGACAGTAAAAGCTTTTGCTGCTTACTCCTTGAATTTTTTAAGATTCTTAATGCATTCAAAGGTACCCATGTTTTTTTCTAGATTTAATATAAGTAATGTTCACAATGATCTGTGCTTTGAAATGTGTTTGTGTGGGTTGTCTCTTCATTTTTCTCATGTTACAAGAAGAAGAAGACGGCGCGTCATTCATATTATATGTGGCCATACGTATTGCTATTCTCGGAGATTGCAAAGTTATTTAACTGTACAGTGTACATTTTTAAGAAAAGCTTCTTTACTTTGATCCATTCTATTTACTGAAGATATACATTTAGATGAATTTCCACTGACAAGACTGTCTATATGAGAATTGACGTATTATTTGTGCAATATTTGTGACTTGAAATTACTCTTAGACGCTTATTTACTTAAATAAGCATCTTATCGCAATGCTTCTCTTTTAACCTTTAAATATTAAGGCAAGAAGCCAAACACACTCGTTTATATATATATACAATGTACATACATTTTGTATGTTACAGGTTGAGTAATATATGAAGTCTTCATAACAAAGTCACGTTTTGCACTTTATAGCAGCATCGCGTAATACGTCGGTTTAACCCAGTTATCGTATCGGTTGGCATGACGACGAGGTGTGCACAGGCGACTTATCGAACAGGAATCTGATTATCGTACATTATTTTTACTGAAAGCTCTAGATTGGGTTTCTAATGATATTCTAGGGATTGACATATGCGGTTTTTTTAAGTTTCTTTCAGTAATTATATTGATTGCAATAATGTATCTGTAATAAATCCTCATTGATTTTATTTTACCGGTTATTTTATATTGTCAATTTATTTATAGCAACAGAACATTATTTTTACATCACTAGGTCTTTAGCTCAATAGCATGATTGATTTTAGAAACTTGAGCTTGTAAATATATTTACTAGATTTGCTCGCGGTTCCGCTTAGTCGTAGATACGTTGATAAATAAGCTGATAAAATAACAAATCAGAATATAAGGTACTATTTGGAGTTTCTTATTTATCCGTTTAGTGGTCATAGCGTGGAGAAGAAACACACTAACAAAATTTCACATTTATAATATGTTCATATCCTTAGTTTGGTTATTTATGAGTATTGATGATATACTCGTAATACACTTTTCATTAAAGCTATTTCATTATAACCTAACTATGGTAATAGTTAAATAAATTGTTGTAATAATTATGTAAAGATTTTATCAAGATCAAGATATTCATGTACATACTTATATTAAAAAAATAGGTGCGTGTAACCTTTAAGCGCGGTTGAAGTAAAACTTCTTTGATGAATGATGAATATATTTTTTTTTCTAAAATTATTAGTCTATTCCCTTTTTTCAACGTTTCACTGCTGGGGACGGGTCTCCCTTCCATACTAAGGGGATCAGGTCATAGTCCACCACGCTGGCCAAGTGCGGGTTGGCGGACTTTCGAAAACTTGTGGGTTCTCTCAGAAATGCAGGTTTCCTCACGATGTTTTCCTTCACCCTAAGGCTATTGGTAATCATGTTAAAAATGATTCACACATGAAAATGTCAGAGGTGCGAGACCCGGGAATTTGAACCCGCTTCACTCGGTTTCCCAAGCGGGCGCGTTATCACTGGGCCACCACTGCCTACGATTATTAGTAATAAACATTAATTTTTATAAGTAATAATTACGAGTATTATAAAATTATTATTAATAATAAATATTTATTTTTATAAAAACTAATTGTTAAATGATAAATTTTAGAATGTATAATCTAATATCTTTGCTTGGTATTTAAAATGTTTCTATTCCTTGCCGCTTGGTGCGTTATATGTTATCTGTATTCTGTCATCTGTCTCCCGAGAAGTTGTTACTGTGTTATAGCTATAAAAAAGGTTATCAATAAAAATCAAAGAAATCTTGCTCAATTATATTATTTATTACCCAAAATAACATTAATTATTATAAAAATATAAATATGGTTTTTTTTATTATTAATATTAAATTTGACTCACACTTCCGCGACACTCATTTTTCCTATGGATTTGACTTACCCCTCAGTCACGTCTAAAGAAGTTTTATTTCAGAAATGTAATCTAAAGATAAAATAATAAGAGTGTAATAAAGTTAACACCATACTATCGCTACACGTTGGCACGTATGGCATTTTAGAATTTTCTCCAAGACATGCAGGTTTACTTACAATGTTTTCTTATACCGTCGTGCGCATGATGAATTTTAAAATAGACATTTTTCACATAAGGAAGCGTCAAATTATATGATATACTAGTATATATTACACTACTCGCTTAGCTCAGTTTGTAGTGATCCTACTTGCTGTGCCAGCGGTCGCGGGTTCGAGTTCCGCTGCGGGCATTCATTTGCGTGATGAGCACGAATGCTTGTACTTCAGTCATGGGTGTTTATATTTATAATGCTTTTATGTATGTATTGAAAAGTTATATATGTGTAGTGTATCAACTATCTGGTATCCATAACACAAGCGTCGTAGCTTACCATGGAACTAGACGGTGCTATGTGTTCATGTCCAAAAATAAAAATATAGTTGTGAACGTATAAGGATGTTATAATAATGAATATCATATCTTTTTGTATATGTAACTATTAAAATACATATATACATATATTATTTGTAATATATGCACACACATGTAAGTATACAGGCATCCTGATGTTAACGACTGCCAATGAAACCCGACAATAGCTAGGATAAGACTGACCTACACGTTATTACACCATTAAACATTCCTTACATTCGAATGTAGACACTATTACATATGCTTAAAGTGTATAATCCACGTTACCTAATTCTCCTGAAACAGCTAATTCTGTAATGTTAATTCACAGTATTAGGTTCTTTGGGCGGTTAACGAAAAAATTACCGCAAATGAGATTTTATTTATGTTGTAATTAACACACGATAGTTTAAGTTGTACTTAGATATACATTTAAATACATATTAACATATTTAATTATATTCTTTTTGTATTTCATTTCATAAAAGATACATTTCTAATTAAAAATATAATTTCGTAACGTCTTTACTCTCCATTCGCTTGGGTACGTCCCTACGCCCTACGTGTCTCATAGTAAGCTGTGTGTTACTCCAGGTATTACGAGTATATCTGTGACCAAATTTTATCCAAATCTGTCAAGTCGTTTCTGCGTGAAACAATGACAAATATATACACACACAATAAACTTTCACGTACATACACCTAGATATAACCACCAACACATAAATCGATTTGAATTCAAATCAAATATTTGTAAGAACAATATTTAAATTAACTTTTACGAGTACCCATACTTTAATATTAGAAATGTGAATGTGTGTTTGTTTGTTTGTTTGTCCTTCTTTTACGTCGAAACAGAGTGACGGATCGGCGTATTTTTTTGTGTGGAGATAGTTGGTGGACTGGAGAGTGACAGAGGCTATTTTTTATTGTGACAGATTATCTCATTTCCACGGGAAGGCACGTTATAATACAACCCCGCAACAACAAATCATACCTATGTATACATATAATATTATATGGTCTATCTATTCCATACTAAATGTTAAAACGTACCTAGACACGAACCCGAGCGAAGCGAGGGTGGATGATTCGCTAGTTTAATATAATTATGTACATTAAAAAAAAGTATGTAGACTTTAAGCCCAACGAATTTACTTACTGCTCAAACTTAGTTGCTTTCCGCCTAAATCTTGCGCAATATATAACTTGACTGGTTGAAACTGTGGAAATAATGTCAGTTTTGTTGCTTAATCAAATTTCGTTCAGTTGGGCCGAGGGGAGAATTTCATTTCGGGAATTAACGTTTCACTATCTTCATTTTACTGACGTTTTAAGGATTGGGGAGATGTTTCCACAATTCGCAACTCCGAAGGATTGTCTTGCAAATCCTTTCTGAAATCTATTGTTTCCCTCTCGATTTTGAGTTGCTTTCATTAAAATATGTATTTTGATGTAACTTTTAAAATGGGGAAAGAAAGTTTTGAGATTTTACTGTAAATGCTTTCTGCGGTCAATTTTAACACTGTCTCTACCTTTAATATGTATTAAAAAAATTGCAAATCCATCTTAAATTTTTATATACATATAAAATTCTATAATCGATTTTTTTTGCAGCTGACAAGGTGCCACCCGGTTTCCCAACGATTTCACCGCCGTCATCCACTATGGTGGTTGAAGTGGGTCACACCGCGACGTTGCCGTGCCAAGCAAGTGGGAACCCCTCGCCACGGGTGCGCTGGCTCTGGAACTCTCTGCCCCTCGACGTGGCCTCTAACCCAAGATATGCGCTCCTCAATGATAAAATGCATGGTAAGTCCTTTTTCTTTAAGATAAATCTCTCAAGAACGAGTGGGATCTCATACGTGTCTTATATTTTTTTTAATTTGTTATAAAATAGGTCAACCGTTGGAGCGTTGTAACGTTATTTAATATATGGCATTAAATAACGGTTAAAGTACCTTATCTACAATAGAGAAGACTACTAGACTAAAAGTATTTTTCTTGTTTTTTCTTATACCAATTTTTAGGATAATATTATATTTTAATTTTAATTACTATGTATACCACATATCAATAAAATTTTGAGTGTCCAATATGAATTTTGAAGTAAAATAAATTACTAATAAATTTGCACCGTAATTTAAATTAATAAATGTATTTCACGAGAAAGAAACGGCGAGTACATATTCTAGGGACCTTCTCACAAGTTGTTACGGATTTTTTACCACAAAAACTTTATTCCTCTGTAATAAAATGTGCTTATTAAAAACACGCTTGACGCTACTAACATGTTTTGTTAAAGAATTTAGAAGTGTAGTAAGGTTAAATATATTATGCTAGGTAGGTACAATATCCTGAACAATAAATAAGTTACCCAGTAGACAATTTATACTTTAAAGAAATCATTTACTTTCATATCTAAACATAATTTTATATTTTTAGTATATAAAATTATAATAATTTAACTTGTGCTTCATAAAATGATTTTAATATAACATCCATTAAAATAACGCGTCCTTTCTTCTAAATGAGACGCGTATCACATAGGTACATATCGTTGGCTCACTATTACAAGGTTCTATGTTATTAATGCTACAAGGTTCTATGTGTCATTAGCTACAGTTTTCCAAAAACAAACCACTAGATAGCGGCACTATAACTACAAAATATTCAATTTTACATAGTTCTATGTTGTTGTTTTTTACGATAACAAAATAACGAAGTTCTATGTAAAAATGACTAAACTTCATTAAAATTAACATAGAACGTTGTAATAGTAAGCCAACGAATTATATTACCAACTTCACGTTCTCTAATAGAATTTGTAATAATATTCAGTATAAATATTTGCCAATTAAAGCTCATGTAATAGAAGCGCCTATAAATAATAACGTTAATCATAGCTTAGAGCATAGAGCTTATTGAACTAGCACTAAAATAATATTTGATCTAACACTGCATTGGAGCATATTACGAGGCACAACGAATTAATGAGCTTTTTCCACTCAATGAAGTGGAACTCATTTCTAATCTAACGCTAAGTGACAGCTTGCTGCCTCGTTGACCGAAATACTGAAAACTTCTGTAAAATTTTCTTTATTAAATTTCAACTTGTTTCATCGACGCCATCAATTAATTACATTTAATTAGTGTGATGAGGTATAAAAAATGCCGTCGGGACGAATTTAATTTTGGATTCTTAATGAAAGTTCGCCTGCTTCTCTGCCTGCGATGCGATAAGGCGGAGACGGAAATATATTAATTATGTCAATTTTGTGGGAGATGAGCTTAAAACGCGATCGAGCTCTTTATTTCTCTTGCTTTGCAAGATTCATGGGTTAAAACTTAAGTAAATATATAAATAAGAAAGGCAACTTAAATGTTAAGAAAGAAAATTTTATTATAAAAGTCATATTATTTTTATAGGTTTATCGGTATGATAAACAAAGTATCTGATGTTAAAGTCTAACACTTACGCCCTATGTCTGAACACCGTGATCTACGTTTTTTGTAATGATTAGACTATCTATGGAATCTTAACTAAAAAAATATATTTTAAGATATTTCTCGGTTCCGTACCTCAAAAGGAAAAAAAGAACACTTATAGGATTTTGTTGTCCATCTGTCTATCTGTCAAGATTTTTTTCTCAGGAACGCATGGAGGTAAAAAGTTGAAATTAATACCAAAATATTCAGATCTGTAATTTCTTAGAGCTCTGAAAAAATCAAACTTTTAAGTAAACGCAATTAAAATATACGGCTGTTTATGCCGCATTTTGACACTCACAAGGGAATCAAAACCTATAGGGTTTTTCCCTTCACCTAGAATCATGAAATTTAGCAAGAATCGTACCGTAAATTTGTACTTACATCAGACAAAAAAAAATATTTTTTTGCAAATACAAAATTTATTTTATTCTTTCATGCTATGGAACACTCGGTGTGTGAGCCAGACTCGCACTTGACCGATTTGTTATTTTTATCTCTCTTATCGTCCCATTGCAGAGTATAACATCGGCAGTCCGATTCTATACTTAGAAGATCATAGCATTCTCTATCACGTGTGAAAATTGCGGGTTACTGAACTTTACATGTCGTTCGATATAAACTTTTCCACATGTTTTTTTTTATTAGCAAGGAGTACCCATGTTGGAAATGATTTTCACATCAAAATCTCAAAGGTTTATGACTTGAGTTTAAACCACTTGGCTTTTAACAAGGACTTTACCACTGGGCTACTACTGCGCTGTACATACACATATGTAGGTTTCATTATATTACGTTTTCTTCAGATTGAGAAGTAATATATTGCTACTTTAGCAATATATTAAACTTAATGTACATATAAATGAATAAATTCACTTAACCATTTTCTACATAAAATATAGAATGAAATATAAATAAATCTAATTGAAGTGAACTCTATATTTTTTTATAACCAAATATTTGTTTATCTCACGCGTTAAATGATATTCGCAATAACTCCACTAAGGCGTCAATAATCCCCATATTCATGGGAACAGTGATAAATTCAATTTTAATACTATTATGCACTTCGCAAGAGGTAAAAGTAATTTAAATTCAGTTAGAGCAGGCCCACAGAGTTGCCTTGGGCTCTTTTAATCTCATTAATTTTAATTTATTCGAGTGGATTATTTCTTCGGTCTCCAATATTTCATAGAGCTTTATTAATGGCTTGTATTAGATTGAAGAATTCGCGTTACGGCCTATTACTTCAAAAATTCTTAGACGATCAAAGATAGATTTGGATTTAATGTTGCCTTAAATTGGACGAATTACGAATCTTATCAATAAATTAGAAAGATTGACAAATCGTTCTTGTCTTTCCCGAGGCCATCGTGATCAGGTGGTGCCTGTAATTCCATTACAAGGGTTATTATTTTGGAGTTAAATAAGAAAATCGTGATAGGATACGTAATGTTTTGGTAAGCGTATTTGTTTTGTTGACAACTTTAAGAATAAGATAGCCGTTTACTTATTTACGAAATGCTTTATCTAAATCGTTAACTGAATAATATTAGAATTACTACCGTCTTAGTAAGACGAATTTTGAACTTGATCCAAATCTCTTATATTTAGTCGATTAATAAAACTGTATATATTTTATTGTAATTTATATATATTTTCCGTTATTAGTTCAGATTATGAAAAAGCTAATTGACGTAATCTTAATTAAAATTTACATTCGTAGTTAAATTTTCATACGTTTTTATTACTGAATCAAGCTTTAACAACCTTAATATAGCTTTTACTGAGTAGTATAATATGTTACATATACATGTGTAAATAATATAATTTCTATCTAAAACAAAAAACGTGAAGTCTTTTCTTAGTTTTCAGATATTAAGGAGGACACAATTTAATAATTCGTATATACATACATACATATAGATCAAAGGGCAAACAAACCCATTTATTGTACAACAAATAATAATAATAATATGTTGGGACATTAACACACAACACCATCTTGTACCATAGTAAGCTATGAGGCTTGTGTCATGGATACCAGATAGTTGATACACTACACATATTATATAACTTTAAATACATACATATTATAAATATAAACACCCATGACTGGAGTACAAACATTCGCGCTCATCACACAAATGAATGCCCCCAGCGGGACTCGAACCCGCGACCGCTGGCACAGCAAGTAGGGTCACTATATACTGAGCCAAACGTGTCGTCAAAATAAATAAATAATATTTCTTTAATAACGTCATTGTTATGCTTTACCCGAGTTATTAAATTAAACACATAACGACCAAGGATTAAGCGCTTTACCAGGGCCCTTGGACACAATAACAGCTATAACACTTTTATAGGGAATTATTATTTTATCGTCTGTTATTGCGCGCCGCGTGTAAATTATATGCGGAACAAAGACAGAGGTTTTACGATCTTCACATGGCAAAATTAACAACTAAACTTGGCCGGCAATAATGCGGGACGTTGATATAGTACCTACGGCTAACTAAATGGAAGAGCCAATGGTGAATATTATAAAGGCGGTTTATTAAATTTGAATAATTTATTCACTTTTGTTAAAAGAGCTAAAGAGAATGAAATCGAAAATGATGTTATATGTATATTTTTATTAACAAAATTGTACATCAATATTATGAAGTAATAAAATAAAGGATAATAATTTTCGAAATACATGATATTGGTTAGAAATTTCTAAATATTTTTTGCCGCTATTAATGTTATTTATGAAATTATAAGTTTGTGTTTAACATGATTTCATATCAATTAGTTTATATTTTATATATACTTCAACCTGCAATTTTAAATGTACCTTTATATGTTTGGAATTTTCATCATTCTATTTCTTCAATGATAAAACAAAAGGTCAGGTAAATAAGTTTAAATCATATCCAGCTTGGCTAACATGTTTTATACGCCCCAGATCTGGGTAGATGTACAGCCGTGATTGCGGCCTACGGAGGGAGATTACAATTCATTTGCATACAAATGCCGGGTCCCTCCAAGTTTGAATGAAACGGTATGGTCGACTGTTGTTCTAGCAAAAAGCAGGTCTTAACTCGTACAACAATAACTGTGGGATGGGCGTGGCCAGGCTTGATTGAGATCGTATGTCCTCGGGCACGCCCCGTGTCGCTTCCAGAACGGACGGTTTTTCTAAGTCTTTGTAAACTTTACTATAATCACACACTGGACAGTAAAGCTGAGGTTTTCGTCGACTTTAGAGTTGTAATGGGATGTTTTGATTTAATTACTCTAAGAAAGTTAAGAGAAATGTAAATTAAGATTTTGTACGC